TTTATCTTGGGTTCTGAAATAACAAAACAGTAGAACCAAACAAAGGTTTTTATCTTGGGTTCCGAAATAAAAAAACAGAAGAACCAAAGGTTTTATCTTGGGTTCTGAAATAAAACAGAAGAACCAGACCAGGTTTTACCTTGGGTTCTTAAATAATAAGGAAAACAATAAAGTTATCAATTCTGGATTAATGTGAAGACTTCACTACAAAGGTAAACTGAAGAATAAATATAAGCTAGGATATATATACCCAGTATATATGAAGGAGCTCAGAGAAAAATACAAGTCTGTCTTATTAATATTTTTGTTAAAATTATGAAGGGAATCAAGTGAATAAAAGATTTACAGAACAAAATTTTCTATATGATCCTTATTCACGAGCAAGAGAGGAAATCAGGGTTGATCCGAGGAAGGAGAGGGTGGCTCATCGACATCAAGGGAAAAAAACTTTGAAAGATTAACGAACGTAAATTACCACAATTAAACTCGTGTAAATCTATTAGTGAGACAGTCTCAGGTCAGAGTTTATTTCAAAAATAATCTTCATTTTACATGGATGGCCATAGGCAGATGGCCATCCATATAAAATGAGTGTTATATTAACATCTGTTAAATGACATTCCTTGCGCTGATCAACTCTTGCTTATCTCTTGTCTGTCCCCATAACGCCTTTACATCTCCTATTTCTCTCCGTTCCATCATTAACCACTTTCCACCCCCCTATCTCTCTCCTTACCATCTCTTTAACCCTCTTCCCATACCCTACCTATCTCTGCCCTTTCCTTGTTCTTATCTGCCCTTCTCGCTGAGTCCCTTGTCAAGGCTAGGCTAGGAAGCACAGAGCACGTCTCCAAACACGAGAGCCACCCCGCTATGTTTGCACCACCGTCTTCACTGACTTGGAGGCTCCTGCTCAACTTGTAAATATATTTTTTTATGCGACTGTATGTTTGGAGTGGGTTTAGAGGAGAGTGTTGGTTGTTGTGGGTGGGGAGGAGAGCGCTGGTTGTTGTGGGTGGTGAGAGTGCTGGTTGTTGTGGGTAGAGAGAAGAGTGCTGGTTATTGTGGGTGGGGAGGAGAGTGCTAGTTGTTGTGGGTGGTGAGGAGAGTGCTGGTTGTTGTGGGTGGTGAGGAGAGCGCTGGTTGTTGTGGGTGGTGAGGAAAGTGCTGGTTGTCGTGGGTAGAGAAGCGTGCTGGTTATTGTGGGTGGGAAGGAGAGTGTTTGTTGTTGTGGGTGGGGAGGAGAGTGCTGGTTCTTGTGGGTGGGGAGGAGTGTTGGTTGTGGGATAAAGAGAAGAGTGCTTGCTGGTTGTTGTTGTGTGTGTGTGTGTGTGGGGGGGGGGATTTGTCTCGCATAAGCGCTGGACAAAATGGCAATGTGCATAAAGATAGAAGTCGCTTGAGTAGGAGCTCAACATGGGCTGGGCCTTGTTACTAATCCTAAACGCTTTAGTGTGAAGGATGTACGAGGCTTCTTCAGTGTGAAGGGTGTACAAGGGTGCTTTAGTGTGAAGGGTGTACAAGGGTGCTTCAGTGTGATGGATGTACAAGGGTGCTTCAGTGTGAAGGGTGTACAAATGTGCTTCAGTGTGAAGGGTGTACAAGGATGATTCAGTGTGAAGGGTGTACAAGGGTGAATTCAGGTGTAAGTCAGGGAGTGACAAGGGTGTTCAGTTACATGATTGTGAAGGGTGTATAAGGGTCCTTCAGTGTGAAGGGTGCACAAGGGTCCTTCAGTGTACAAGGGTGATTCAGTGTAAAGGGTGTACAAGGGTGATTCAGTGTGAAGGGTGTACGAGGGTGATTCAGTGTGAAGGGTGTACAAGGGTGATTCAGTGTGAAGGGTGCACAAGGGTCCTTCAGTGTGAAAAGTGTACAAGGGTGTGTCAGTGTGAAGGTTGTACAAGGGTGCTTCGGTGTGAAGGGTGTACAAGGGTGATTCAGTGTGAAGGGTGTACAAGGGTCCTTCAGTGTGAAGGGTGTACAAGGCTGTGAAGGGTGTACAAGGGTGCTTCAGTGTGAAGGGTGTACAAGGGTGCTTCAGTGTGAAGGATGTACAAGGGTGCTTCAGTGTGAAGGATGTACAAGGGTGCTTCAGTGTGAAGGATGTACAAGGGTGCTTCAGTGTGAAGGGTGTACAAGGGTGCTTCAGTGTGAAGGGTGTACGAGAGTGATTCAGAGTGAAGGGCGTACAAGGGTCCTTCACTGTGAAGGGTGTACAAGGGTGTTAGTGTGAAGGGTGTACAAGGGTGTTTCAGTGTGAAGGGTGTACAAGGGTGATTCAGTGTGAAGGGTGTACAAGGGTGATTCAGTGTGAAGGGTGTACAAGGGTCCTTCAGTGTGAAGGGTGTACAGGGGTGATTCAATGTGAAGGGTGTACAAGGGTCCTTCAGTGTGAAGGGTGTACAAGGGTCCTTCAGTGTGAAGGGTGAAAAGGGTGCTTCAGTGTGAAGGGTGTATAAGGGTGATTCAGTGTGAAGGGTGTACAAGGGTGCTTCAGTGTGAAGGGTGTACAAGGGTGATTCAGTGTGAAGGATGTACAAGGGTGCTTCAGTGTGAAGGGTGTACAAGGGTGTGTCAGTGGGAAGGGTGTACAAGGGTGTGTCAGTGGGAAGGGTGTACAAGGGTGCTTCAGTGTGAAGGGTGTACAAGGGTGTGTCAGTGTGAAGGGTGTACAAGGGTGTGTCAGTGGGAAGGGTGTACGAGGCTGGGTTTTCTCAATATTTGAGGCCTGTATTTGTGTATGAAGTACTGAATATAATATAATAATTTTAAAAAATCTATGATGACAACACAATAAATATTAATAACTCGCGTACCCGCCTGAAATTTCCTTCGCGTACCCCCGGGAATAGGCATACCCCAGTTTCTTAACTCTTTTATTATATAAACTAATAATACTGTAAATAAGTAACAGCGAATAAATTAACGTTACTTAATAAATATCAAATGCGCCCTAAATATCTGTAGCCCCGTGTGAGTGACGTCATTGTCACAACACCTGTCAGCGAGGTGGGTTGTGCTGACATAAATTCCAGCTTATTTATACGTATTTTGTCGGTGATAATCTACCATGTACCTCAGCTTATCAAAGGTGTCCAGTGCTACAAGTAAGTAGAAATCATTCTTGGATAATTTAGAGCAGTGGTTCCCAACTTTATTTAAATAGAGGTATACATTATTTAACCTATGAAAATTTCCTGACCCTTCCCCCCCCCCACATGATAAAAGTTGTAATTTGAAGCTTCATAACATGAGAAAATGTACAATTAAAAACTTGTGAAATGAGTAACACTTTGCAGACCAGTGGAATAAATAACTGGATGGCTCCACAGGTCGACAGCTCACGGGTTGTGAACCATTGCTTCAAATATTACCCGGTGTTTGATCAAGCTTGGAATAATAGGCTAGTCATCAGTTATGTATAGGATAAAATTCTAGTCAGATGCGTAATTTAGTATGTAATCATTAAGTATTTACCCGTGAATGTTCCTGAAAGAATAACATAGTGGAATTCCTGATATTAAATAACAGATCAGTGTTCAGTGGGCCCCTCTAGAGAGGCTTCTCAGGGAGGGTGCGCTAAACCCGTAGGGGGTCATTTAGCACCTGGGGGGAATGAGAGGTAATCAGGCTTGTTCCAAGGAAGGGGAAGTCCGGTCAAGTTCCTTGGGCCAAGAGCTCGCCAGCATCATTAATATAGTTAGGAGAGGGGAGAAGCGCTAAACCCGCAGGGATTGTACAGCTTCTGGGAAAGTGGAAGGCAATCAGGTTCAGTCCATGGAAGGAGAGATCAAACCCAATTCCTAGGCTCGGTATCCCATCACTCATATTAAGGAATTTGCCACCCCTCCCCCTTCCAGTTACGGAAGGTTTTTTGATGACGGTGAGGATTCTTTCATCCAAGGCATTGGACCTGATCTTTCCTTCCTTAGATTGAACCTGATTGCCTCCCATTCCCCCAGGCAACATATGACCCCTGCGAGTTTATCGCTTCTATGAATGCAATAATAATTAGTGTTCAGTCAACACTAAAAAAAAGTTCGATTAATTTTTTTATTGTACCCACTAATAATCTATTTAGCATAAGCTTGATCGATTTTGTTAATACAATACTAAATGTGCATGAAACAAAGCTTACATCAAATACCTGTTTATATAATTTTAAAAGCATAGTTCTGATCAATACTCTTGAGAAATTTACGTATATTTATTCTGAGTGAGAGCAACCAAAAATAAAATGAATAAAAAAATATATTGTTATTTGTATACAGAAACATTTTCACTAGATTTTAACCTAGAATTATGTTTTAGGTGTACTGGTCATACTCCCATCTACTAGAAATTTCTCTGCGCTCTAGTGATAGACAGTGAACGACATTTTGGCTGCTTTTGACTCGCATCAAGAATGTCTTCATTAGCAGTCAGTTTATGATACACGACTTAAAACTTGGTAAAATGTAAGTAGATTTTTTTCGGTATTTCCATTCAGATTGCACACTACGTTGGATCTTAGCCAAAGGGGAATTATCGCTTATTTCTACCTGACATACCCTTCGTTCCCGAGAATCATTCCAGTTGGTGTTTTTACAGAGGGTGGAATTCCAGCTTGGAGAAATTGGTAGGCTCTAATTACTTTGTTAATTCTTGCCTCTTCCTGCCTTAATATTACAATTGCAAAGCGGGATACAATTTAATTTCCACACAACTATAGACGTTCCTCCAAGTCAGTCTATTCACTGTAACTTTTGTTGCCACTACTGTTTTAATATTTAGGATAATAGCAAATCTGTAATGATAATAGCAAGTTTGCTAGGATAGCAAGCAAATAATTATATCAACGTCTCTAGTGCTTCGTAATTCAAGCCTAGCAACGAATATTTTAATTTAAGGGATAATTAACTTTTCAAGAGGGATGTCTTGAGCTGACAGAGGGCTCTTCCTCCATGAAATTGGAGCATTCCATGAATATAATAACAAGGTATAATCAAACAACTTAGTATAATTAAATTATAATTTACAAATAACCATCTAGAATTTTGCAACCAATGTTGGATTTACATATATAACAATTTGAGTGGAATTTTCAGTTAAAAAAGGAAATTAACATTTTGCACCTTGATGCGATAGGCCATATATTGTATATTATAAATAAAAATTATAAATATTTTTAAACCGGGGGTATCTTGTTATGTTGATACCCACAAGTTGTAGCTAAAAACAAACATGCAATGCTCAAAATAATTATTAAGGAGACGTTTCGCCACAAGTAGCTTCTTCAGTCCACTGGTGTAAAAGTTTTCTGAGTAAATGTCTTGACCAGTGCATATGTATCGTACCTACAAATCTAAAGCTGGTAGAGGTGCATCCCTTAATTAACACTTGTAGCACTTAGTGACACACGACTGAGCCACCTTGATAGACTAGGCTTCACAGGGCTGGAGGGGGTGGCTTTATGTCGGGGATGAACTCTTGATCCAAGAAATTGGCACTTCCTTCTTCTTCCTTGGATCATACCTGATTACCCCTGTTCCACCCTTCCCATTTCCCGTGTGCTGTAGACTTACCAACTTAGCACTTTCTCCATAATTCTCAATAATAAATCAACCACAGTTCCCGGATAAGATTGGTTCTTTGGTGAGCACAGGGTGGTGTAAGGCTCTTTATCCAAGGAATCGAACCTATCTTGGATCGAACCTAATCACCTGCGGACTTAGTGCTATCCCACAATTATAACAGCCTTAGCTCCTGTCGATAGCTACAACTTAAATTATAAGTTAGATTAATATATGTAGTTTACCTTTGGTTCGTATCATCACAAACAGACGAACAAACTTTATTTTCTGCAGTATACAAAATGTAGTTTACGTGTAATGAAATATTTTTGCACGCAGGGCATTTCGTCGGTTACGAGGATCAGAGTCAGCGCAGTTTTGTGCCAAGTCAAACCTCCCAGTTTACAATCTGATAAGTCAGGCTGTCGGTGCTCGCTGCACTCAGTCTGATATATGTAAAGTAAAAGGACACAAGTGCAACTAATGTGACATTTTATTGTGGCAACGTTTTGCTCTCCAGGAGCTTTATCAAGCCATAATGGCTTGATAAAGCTCCTTGAGAGCGAAACGTTGCCACAATAAAATGTCACATTAGTTACACTTGTGTCCTTTTACTTTACATATTGTCGGTAATTCTACCAACTTTATTACAGTCTGATATAAGTACGACAGCCCGGCTGATCAGGAACTTATCGAGGCCCGTCCCTCTTGAAGGCAATTAGGGATCTATTGGTAATTCTCCTTAAATATGATGGGAGGGCATGAAATTTTTTTGGAATATTTACCTTTTGAACTTTAATTTTTCACTGGGAATATTTTGTTTCGAGTAGGCCTCCCACTTTCGTAAGAATTTCAGTATGCATATTTGAAACCAACCTTCCAACTTGCTTTCATTGTGGAGGTCCACGCAGACATTCTCGCTGCTCTCGTCCTGGTAGCCAGCCTACGTGGGTCCCGATTCGGTGTTCACTCAGACTTGCAATATATTTTCTTGACCCTGGTCCTAGTCAGAACTTTGTAGAGCTACATTCGTCCTGCAGAACTGCAAAGAGATTCGCACTTTCCACATCTCCTACTTTGGTTAATTTACTTGTCTTCCTTTTAACTTTTCTCTCCTTTTTTCTAACCACTTTCCATTGACTACTTCCTTCTTTTTCACTCATTTCCTCCATAGACTGCTGCTTCTTCACATTCTCCTGCCTGGAAAGCATTTATTATTTTTATTAATATTGCAATTACTTTCATGGTCACAGTGGTGCCTGTGCTAACCTTCCTATGGTGTAGAAATATACCTAGTTGGACGAATCTTATTGTGGCTAGCTGGTCTAGTGGCTAAGACGACGGGCTGGAGTTTTGAGACTCTCTGACCGCGGGTTCAATCCGGCCGGGGTATGGTTTGGATTATCGATTCGGGAAAAGAAGAAGGGACCCAGTTGATATTTTGTATCTGTGACCTTTGGGATATTTTGGGGGTCTTGGCATTAGATTTAATGGATATTTAATTTATGCGAATTATTTGAATTAACTTGTTGTGATAGTATTAATGGGTTAGAATGGTTCTGATTTTTGTACAGTTAGTGTACAATTGAGTGTTAGCGTGTGATCGTATTTATGGTAAACAGCACTAAATCTAAAGGTCAAAAGCCGGGGTTTGGACTTCATTCCCCTTCAACGTCGGCACCTATGCTGGGCTAGCAAATATTAAATGCCTTCAAGAATCTCAACAAAACAATTTTTAGGCTCTGTACAGAATGGCCGGGTCCATCTTAGAATATGCAGCCGTTTTGGCTTCAAAATGATTTGTTCAAACGTTTAAAAAGGGTAAAGTTTGCAAGGGATTATTAAGGGAAAAAGAGGGTACATTAGGGGGAAGACTAAGGTTTTTTAAATTTGGCCTTGAACATAAGAACAAGGAAAGGGGAACACTAAAAGGGGCCTGTTGGCCCTTACTACGGTCCTTTACAATTCATCCCCTAACAAAACATTTGCCCAACCCAATTTCAATGCATCCAAGAAATAGCTTAGTGAAAGCCCACTCAAAACCAACCCCCCCCACTCATGTATTTTCCAAACCCAATTTTAAACACCCCAAAATCCCCGCCTCAATAAACCCAAATAGGTAGACTGTTTCCCCTCATCAAAACCCTATTCCAAACCAATACTTTTCCCATGTCCTTTCAAAACTAAACTTATCTAATTTAAATCCATTCTGCGGGTTCTCTCTTGGAGGGGAAAATCCTCAAGACCTTATTAATACCCCTTTATTTAAAACCTATCTTTTACTTTTACACTTCGATCAGGTTTTCCCCCCATTCTTCGTTTTAAAAAGTGAATGTAACTTAAGAGTCTTCAAATTTTTTTCATAAGAAATTTCTAATGCTATTATTAATTTTTTTATCCCACGCTGAATGTTTTTTAACGAATTTATTTTCCCCCTTCTGTAATATGGAGACCCGAACGAGCTGCATAAACTAGGGGAGGCCTTTCTAAAAGATGTAAAAGTGCAGTAGACCCTGGACTTTGTTTTTTACCTTCTTTATATAAATCCCAGTAATCTAGCCTTTTTACGTACGCTTTGGGATTGCGTCTTGGTTTAAAGGTTCTCCACCATAACCCCCCCAATCCTTTTTGCAATCTGTATGGGGTAAGTTTTTTACATCATTTAACTTATAAGTACTAGGGGTTTTGGGGACTCCCAAGCTCAGAACCTTGCATTTATCTCATTTAAAATCATTCCACTTTTTACCAAGAAAAGAGTTTGTTTTAAAACCTCCTGAAGTTCCTAACATCTACGTTTTAACAATTATCCACTATTTTTGTGTCATCGGCGAAATTTTTTCATACACTGTAATTCCCCCATCAAGACATTGATATAAATTTTTTAAACAACAACGGCCCCAAGACTGATCCTGTGGAAAGCCCCTTGTTTCAATCCCCACTCCGGGTTTAACCCCTTTTTTGGCACCTCTGCTTCCTGTTGTGAGCCATGATCGATCCACGAGGCACTTTTCCCCCCCAAGCCATGATTGCCCCAAGGACAAGAAACTACCCCAAATTTCCTTTGTCTTGTCTTGTCTTTGACTTGTCCACTTTTCGTGGCGCTCTCCTTCCTGCTCTTGTTAGTCTGTTTTCTAAGATTCACCACCTTCCAACGCCGTTACCAACTTGCCCTTTCTTCTTTTAAATCCAACACTAACATTGTCATACTATCTTCTGACAAAGGTAATTCGGTAGTTATCCTTGATCGCGAGGATTCCCTCCGTAAAGCTGATGTCTTGCTCTCTGACTCACGTACCAACACTCCTCTCGTTTCCAACCCTCTTGATCGCATCAAGAGAACTTTCAACAAAAAACTAAGGACTCTCTCCGACCTCTGTCCTCCTGACTTTGACCTTGTTCAACGGTTTCGTGTCATCTGTCCCTCTCTTCCCTATTTCTATGGCCTTCCCCAAAACTCATAAACCTAAATATTTCTCTCCGTCCTATCATATCCCTAGAGGTTCTGTCTCTTATTCTCTTGCTTCTTGGCGGGCCAAAACCCTCACTACCCCTTTCTTGGTACTTTTTTCTCCTGCCCACCTCCGTCACTCTCAAACTTCATTGAACGGGTTCGCTCTCTCCCAACCTGTAAGATCCCTAGCCCTTTGACGTTGAGTCCCTCTTCACCAATGTCCCTCTTGATGATTCCTTGATTTCCTTAGAGAGAAGGCCCATGAAAGGTTTCTTCATCTCCCTATACCAAACTGATGTCTTTCTTGATCTTATCCCTCTGTGTGGACTCTAACTCCTTTTCCTTCCAAGGGAAATATTATTCTCAAACCTTCAGTGTCGCTATGGGCCTCCCCCTCTCTCTCCTGTCCTTGCTAATCTTTACATGGAATACTTCGAGACTGTTCTTCTTCCTACCCTCGATGTGCAACCTTCACTCGGGCCTCCGCTATGTGGATGACATCTTTGCTGTGGCCTCATGACCCCCATTCTCTTCCAACCTTTTCTTGAAGCTCTAATAATCTTGCCCCTTCCATTAAGTTTAAAGCTGAATGGGAATCTAATTCCTTGCTACCTTTCCTTATGCCCCATGTCCACCGCTCAGATTACGGTTTTTCCTTTCCGTTTACCTAAAACCTATGCACAGTGGCATGTACATTCACTATTTTTCCCCTATCATGCTTCCCCTATCAAGAAAAGTGTTATCTCCCTCTTTTTCCATGCCCCCCTGCATCTGTGACCCAGTTCCTTCCAGCAGAAATTTTCACTCTTTATAATTCGTTTTCCGTCTTGGCTACCCTTCCCCCTTCATAGACTCTGCCCTCTCACGTGCTAAACGCAGTTTCTTCTCTCCCAAACTCTCTACTCCTGGGAACTCTTCTATCCTCTGCCTTCCCTACATTTCCGGGCTTTCTAATCTCAACAATTCTCTCTGCCCTTTGACATCAAGCTTACCTTCCGCCAGACTAACACTCTTCGCACTAATCCGTTCCATACCTCTCCTCCCTCTACAGATTTCCTGGTGTCTACTCTATTTCTTGCTCCTCCTGGTCCTCTTCAATACTTCGGAGAAACTGGTCGATCTCTTTCTGACAGACTTAGGGAGCACAAAAATATGTTAGGCTTGCCGACACTAAAAAATGCCTTTTCTGTCACTCAGAGATCATAGCCATCCTATTGACTGGTCTTCTGCTAAAACTGTCTTCCCTACTTTCAACTCGAACAGTCACCATCTAGTTGAATCCTCTCTAATACACAACTTTCCTTGTATGAACCTTAGCCCTGGCTTCGTCTCTGTAGATGCCTTCCTCTCCCACTACATTATAAAATGTTCCAAACTTCAGAACACCCGTGGCTTAACCTGACTCCTCATTTTTTCTTTTTCTTTTTCTTCTTCTCCCTCTTCCCCTTTCCTCTTTCCTTTTCTCCTCTGGGTTGGATGGTAAAACGTCTACGATAGGGATGCCCGGGTGTTGTGCATGTGTCTTAATTTCATCTTGTCAGTATTATATACCATTCTTGTACTACTACTACTACCACCACCTCTTCCTGCTTATATATAGCCGTCCTGCTCCACTTCCGGTTAGTGTGACTTTGTCAATGGTCCAAGTCGGACCGAAACGTCGTCGTAAGCTTCTCTTTTATGTGCGGGTTATTTGTGTATCGTTCCAGTCACGGTATTGTGCCTTTTTTGTTATTTATGATTTTAATGTAGGAGGGAGTTAGGCAAGTGGCTTGAACTGACCCAAGCCAGTGTCTCACGTCTAGCACGATTAAAGCCAAGTTTCTCGGATCACGGTGAGTGTCTCGAGCCCCAGGGAGATGTATCAGGCAGTGGTACTGGTGTCTCGACTGATTTGCATACAGGGGAAATGTTTTGGTGTTACCTACGATCGGACATACATGAGTAATTCCTAGTCAGCCAGGAAAGTGACAGGGCAAAAGGAAATGGGGTTTAAATAACTCTAAATAGCGTTAATGGTATGCAGTGCCTACAAGTTGATGAATAAGACATGTGCAACCCCTGGGTATCTATATTCTGAGATTTTTCGCCAAATACTGACTTTTGTCAGTTAAATACAGAGGTTGTTTGAAAGTCTTCAAAACTGGAGACATTAAAAGTTTTCTACTGTCTCCAATTTCAACACCAAAAAAAAAAATTGTATATATATATAAATATATATATTATTTTATATAATATAATATAAAATATATATATTATATATATATATAATAATATAAATATAATGTTGATACAAAACTACTGGGTGGCGAAACGTCTTCAGAATGAAGTTACTAAGGGTTACACATGTCTTATTCACCAATTTATAGTTTTTCTTTCGAGATTCTCCACAGTTTTGTACAAAGTATCTTCGCAAATTGTTAAGTCTCAACAAACACAGGCTTATATTAAGGCCATGCTACGAGATACAACGGCAATCACCCCTTTAGTAAATCAATAGCACAAAAAACATAGATGTTTATGCTAGGGAATATGAGCAGTGACAACAGAAATAAAAGAATATTAGCAATTGAAGCAGTGAAAGTAATATACGAAAGCACCAACAGCACTATTAGTTGAAGGAACTGCTTATAGCAGTATTTTAATACGAGATTCAGTAGCAGGAGCAGTTGAACGGTAGGATGAGTGCGAGCAGCAGCAGTGAGGTCACATAATATCAGGTTGTCCGAGGCTTGACTTTGGCTAGACC